CAAGGACTTGTTCCAGAACTAACAGCTAGAAAGGTATAGATGGTGGTCAGTTACACTTGCTAGTAGCTTGAGGAAAAACTTCTTGGCTGAAGACCTCTGCAGTGCTACAGATGAAGACTGAGCAAAAGCTAGGAAGCAGAATCCTTGGGCCACCTATTACTGCCCCATTTCCAATTCTCCCTACTAGATAAAACCAGGTATTTTCAGCTTAAAATTTCTTCTGTTTTGATCAATTGGCTCAACATAATCTTTAAACTGGGTTTGTTACCTCACCTCATTAGGTGATTAGCTTTGATTCCTTTGCTTGCTGTTTTAGATGTAAAATCTAATTCATGGGATTGCTCATACACTGGAGTGGTAGCCATTCTGCTTTACCATAAATGTATTAATGACACTGGGATACATACAGTTGTAACAGTAACAGCACTGCTTTGCTCTTCCAGTCACAATTGCACTGAAATTTTGACCAGGTTCTTACGCACAGTGCCTGCAGCATGGCAGAATGCGTTTTTCGGTTCTGTATACTATGGGACTAGTAAACTGAGTTTTATGTTCCTTGCAATGTTGCACTTGATACAAAAATAAAAAGTTATCATGCATTTCTGTCTTCCCTTAAACTCTTGAGCAATTAAAAAAGGAGCTCCAAAGCAGTCTAATTAAAACATTAAATGGGTATAAATATCCCTTAAGCTTTGCTGATGCTACTCAAGCTCTCATTAACAAATGTCCATTTTTGTAGTTTGTAATTATTTAGAAGTACTTAGTCATTTGCCAGGGAGCTGTTTAGGGCCAATCTCTGTATTAACTTGCCATGCATATAGGACAGGGACATGAGGAAGTACCTGCTGAAGCTGTTTACATTAGTAACTTGAAGTTTGGGAAGAAGGCATCCTTCTTTCAAATGACTAAAGAAACACCATCCCTAATGTAAGCCTTGTACACTGAACTTAGTCATAAAAACAACTGTGATACTACTTTGGCAAAGAAAGATTACATAGTTCCTTAAGTAACTGTACCTACCCTGGTAAGGAAAACTACTCTTTCCATGTATAAAGACAGTAAAAGAAAGTGGTTTTTTTGCCACACTCGGGCTACATGTACTCCAAGAGACATGGAAAAGCAGTAAAAATAAAGCATGCTGATGACAGACAGATTGGCTGTCATCTGTACTAAGGTTTTCTATCCTTTAATCAAAAGTCTAAACAGAAAAAAACTAGTGTTTTTTGACAGCTGTACCTTGTATGAATGCAGAAACACTGAGTAAATATTACTTACTTATTTCCTAGTAAAGGAGGATTTTGGCTGGAATCTAGTGATGGTGCTAAACCTTGAGTCTAGAGATAAAATAAACCATCAACAAGCTCTCACAATTTGCTCGTAAAGCAGAAGACATGAGTATATGGGTTGGTCTATCTTGTTTTCACTACTTAATTGCTCTGTGACTTAGTTGTTCACCATGTAGAAAAAATGCTAATAGGTGAGGTCCAAACTAAAGTAGCTTGTAGCTACTTGAAAGAACATAGTGTCTGAACTCCATATTGTAACTAGCCCTTTCCTGTATGGGTTTTTCTTTTGCTGTGTTTTTTGTTTGGGTTTTTTGTTTGTTTTTTTTTTTTAACAGATAAATTTGAAGTTGTGTGAAAGCAGAAGGGATTACTAGTTACAGTCTGTTATGACAAAAGTATACTTTATCGAACAAATATTGGAGAGTTGTGCATACTCAAAGACTACTCTATGGAAAATAGTAAATACTCCTTTTAAGCCAAACAGTCTAAATTTTCCTCCCTTTGTCTGTATTCATACTGGAGAATAGTCACATTACTTCTTTTTAAGCTTAGTTGGAGAGAACCAAGAAAGTAGAAAAGTATGATACTTACTGCCTGCCTGAAAATTTGGTTTATCATGTATGTTTTGTTATGTTAATGCAATAAGATAAGGAGAGATGCTGAATAAGATAAAAACCAGCATGTTTTGGGTTAGCAAATACAGCTAGTGAAAAAAGATAACCTTTGAAAATAATTCTGTTTTAGCCTCTGTAACTCATACTATGATCAAGTGTTTACCACAGCCTCAGGAAAAGTATGACATCTATACTAAATTCTATGCAGCTTATTTTCAATAAAATGACCTTTATGTCATTATTTGCCACTATTTCCTTTACAATTACAGTGTAGGCAGCTTTTGCAGAAAAGCAGAGATCCTTTTTTATTCCTTGCAATGCATCGCTTGATACATCAAGCAGTTTTCTGCTCTAATCTGGATGTACTCAAAACAGCACTATACTCTAAACATCATTATTCAAAAGAATCACAGTGCTGCTTACGTTGCAACTCAAATATTGGAACTTGATTTGCCATTATGAAGCCTATAATCTAAGGTGTTCCTTAAATGGTGACAACTCAGAGCAGCTATTAAAAGCTTAAGAAGCATTTTTTCAATATACATCTTTATGTATAGGTTAAGAAGAAAAAGGAACAAAAACCCAAAAACCCCCAAACAAGCAACCAAATTCAGAATGATAGACTACCAACCCAATCTTTGGAATTAAAAATAATTCCAAAAGCTTACTTCTAGAACATACTGTTCATACTTCACGAAAGAGATTGCCAAAAGCCAAAGACTACTTACAGATCATGAAAGCAGAAAAAAAAACCCAAACAGCCAGAACACCAATGTGTTCAACCATGTGCTTACTGAACAGCTCCATCAAATCAGACAGGACTTCTCTACGCTCAGCTTTTACCTCTTTTCTCTCAGATACATTAATGGCTTTCTTGGGAGAGACCATTAAGCTTAGTAGTATCTCCAGTAAGTTTTATGTGGCTTCGTAACATGGAAATAATAATCTAATAGACAAAAAAAAATCCTAGTAATTGTTTTTAGTTGCTTTCATAATCATATACTAAGCCATTTTGCAAAATGTCAGCATATGTTCACATAAATAATGATGTAGTTTGACTAGCCATAGGAATGGTTCTCTTGCGTGTGAAATTTTTACATGGAAAATGGATATAACAAAAAAAAGTCCAAATGCCCCCTTCATAACCACAAATTATTTTTCTAGCTTATCTCTAAATATCAAAATCTGTACCAGCAAAACCCAAAGAAAGTTTTAACTTTATATAAATTATGCAAAAAACCAAAAAAAACCAACAAAACACCAAAAAACCCCACTCAAAACCCAACTTCAATCAGGTTTAGCTGTTTCCTTGCTCTTTTTCAGCTTTCCAGTGGCAATCAGATACTAGGGTTCATGCTGTCTTCATCGTTTGTGTCCTTATAATTCTTTCTCTAACAGACTTAAAGTATGCCTTTCTCCATAGCTAAGGTGCAGGCTTTTTCCGAAAACTGCATCAGTTTGTTAGTTTGCTTGGTTTTAATTCCTTTCTCACTCCTTTAATTAGCTCACTTGCTCCAAATAGCTATCTTCCCTTTATTTCTCAGTCCTCTTTCACTTCCTATGTCTGCAATTCATCTTATAATCAGAAGGTTGATATTCTCAGATGTAATAGGTGAAAGGCTTTACAAGCTTTATGGACTCTGTTTCTCTGCGGCCGAGTACACTTCCCAATCTAAACAGGACCTAGATATAGCAATCTATGCCTCCAATTTGAAGTCTGAGCTTCACAGTGAAGGGAGCAAAATGTTAGGTAAACATATATCAGAACACAAGAATCAAATGGAAAGAAAGGAACAGACATAAATATTCAACTAATACTCAAATGAGCTTCTTCAGTGCTGTTTTTTACTCTGTGGTACATGAACAGGTGTAGTTTATCAAATTCTTCCTCCACAAGTCCAGTGGCATGCAGATCAGCATACCATTTAGACATATGTATGGAAGTGAAACACATCTCATTTTCCCAGTACAAGAGGAAAAGCAGTATAGGAGAACTGCTAGAAAGCTGGCAGCTATAAAATAATTTGTTTTAATTTATTTCGCAAGGAATTCCTCATTCACTGGCACAAGTGGATGAGATTCTATTTTGCATATAGCATGATCTTATTGTTCAAAGTGTCTATTGAAATTACTAGATAGCATGCTGTCAATACATGCATTTTATCCAAAAAAACTTTATTTTTACAAAAATCCTTGGAGTTCTGTTATGTAAAATATTAAAAGTAATTGTTTCACAAATTAAGGTACTTCCTTTTTACAAATTCCTGGGAAGTAATCATCAGAGGAACTCTCCTGCACCTGTGTATTATTCAGAAATAGTAAAAAGTACTTTAAAATTTTGAATTAAATACCATCTTTGGACATATTCTGCAAAAGTAAGAATTCTTACCAAGTGCTGCGGACCACCTTTTCTGAAACAATCAGTCCAGTTGATCTGTTTCTTTATCAGACAATACTAAGGAACATAAATTCATTTATAGATGGTTTTGTCTGAAGGAGAAGATATATTATTTATCTTTTATTATCTAAAATTAGATGAAACACTTGCAGGTAATGATGCCTTAGGTTTTAGCTTTTATATTTTTCAGATTCTGTACTGCTTTAGTGTGTAGTTCAGAGCTTCATATTAGGGGATGGTAAGCTGTCTTCACAGAGTAGCCAGACAGCTTCTTTCCTAGCTTGGAACCCAGGACAACCACCCAACTTTCAGACCCAAGAGCATAAACAAAGTGGACTGAAGAGAGAAAAACAAGAAAAATGGCACTTCGTAACCTAAAGCTATAACTGGACAATGAAAGCAAATGGAGCAGAACTTATAAAAGTGAGAGCCCCAGTGAGTGGTCATACATTTTGTGACCATTTTGGCTCATCTTGGGTGTAGCACTGGCTGGGCTCTTGTTCTGCCCAAGGTGTATCCATTGAGGCCTTTTAATAAATTCCTGCTTTATTCTTTAGCTCTATCTAGCCTCTCTTCTAGGTCAGCCTTGGTAAGGCATCAGTTAGAATTCATGAATACACATTTTGGTTTTGAGGGGTTTTTTTGAGCTCTTAAGCGTTGTACTAACAAGCAACCTTCTGAAGAAATGAACACTGGAAAAAATTTCAGGGGTTAGTTTTTATAATTTATTTGAAGCATTTCTATTTTGAGCACAAAGACAGCAAAAGTGAAAATTAGAATGGGACACATAACCTGAAGAGAAGTATTATCCAAAATATTACATATGTTATTTATGCTTAATTTTGTTAAATATTTTTTGTTTTATTTCACTTGCTGAAGGCTTTTTGGTAGCAAAGGCTCCTGCTGCAAGTTCCATCTTCTTGTTCTGAATTTTCAGGATATTTTCTTCTACTGAATCCTTCACAATGAAAAAAAAAAAAAAAAAAAAAAAAAAAAAAAAAAAAAAAAAAAAAAAAAAATAAAAAAAAAAAAAAATTAGGATGAGAAGTTTAGGTATTCTGGGAAAAAATGCAAGGGAGCTGAGTATCCTAAGTACATTATTTCACAGTTACATTATTTAGTTATTGCTTTGTAATAAACACAGAGAAAAGTGTTGTAAAGCAGTTGGATGGAAAGATTAGGTATTTTGATTTTTCTGTGCTTTTTTTGTTTTAAACATTTATTGGAAGGATATCTATCTCTTCTTTTCTACTTTTATTAAAAGAGAACCTGCCTTCAATTTTTGAAGTAGTATTTTTGTGATGGAATACTAACGAGGCAGGCTAGCTGCTCTTCCACAGCTAAATAAGCTGCTATGACAATGACAAAAGCATTCTACATACCTTCAAGATAATGAACTGTAATAGCCAGGCTAACCAACAGTTATACTACTCCATCTGAGTCATTCTAAATAGCTCAACAGAGACATTTAATTTCTAATACTAAAATCTTAAAATACAAAGCACATTTCAACAGTCATTCCATAATTTAGTTTTACTGGTGAGACTGTGATGGCACAATTATTTTTAAAATACCGTAAAGCTTCTTGGAAAATAAGTATTTATTCATAACTGGAAAACTGTTGGGATCATCTTTTAACTCACCTTAGTAATAACAGCATTATGCTCCTGACCCAGCATGTGACATCTGTCAAAACACTGCTTGTCTGCAGTGGGATTCCATGCTATTAGTAGCAGCAATGAACAAGTTAAATAACCTCCCTTCAAAACATAATAGTATGCACATGGCATCACAAAGCAGATAATGTACCATCAACGTAATCTTTAACAAATACTGCCTGCAGATTAGTTACTCTGTGCCTAATGTCTTACTCTTTAAGTATCTCGCTATAAAGACAGCTCTTATAACTTCTGGTTACATGTTCATAACAAGCAGAAACTTCCGGTAAATGCTTTAAAAACAGAGTTTGTCAGAAATCTAGGAGATATCAAAACAATCCTATGTTATTTTAATTCTGAAACAAACACTACATATACTAAGTGCCTCAGTACCTGATGACCAACTTTAAATCAGCTGGACACAGGCAGTTACTTAACAGTTAACTGGACTGTTAAGAAAGCCCACATATGCTCTCATTAATATATACAATAATCACCATGTTAGGTAAACAAGACATTTTGCTGAACACGAAACAGTGTAGCTGTTACTACTTTGGATGTAACATTAAATGTGAGAATCTGTGAAATGCCAAGTCTGTGCTCTGCATTTCCCCAGCATGTTTTAACCATCTAAAGGTACAGTACTACTAAGTTCTCAGAAAACTGATACTTAAATCTACATCAACTATAATCATGTTCTGTCTCTTATAAGCAAGTCTCGTGCAGTGGGCTTGCTTTTCATGCCACCCACATACTGCAGGTCGTCTAAGAATTCTTAAAGACTTGGTTTAGATTCTAAGAACCTCTGATGCCTATGCACACTCAGAGACATCAAGCTGCAAGATAAAAGCCAAACAGGTCTTGTTTCTCCAATCTGTAGTAGCAAAAGAGCAACAAATTACGTATTTGTCACTGCAAGATGAACATTCCTGGCAGGCTATATATGGCAAACTGTCCTATTATTAATCTCACTGTATGAGAAATTATGTCTGGAGAAAAGATAAACATGCAGAAGTATGTTCCATTCTATTTTTGCTGTAGTCAAAAGAGACTGAAGTGTAATACTTTCACTCTTCTCTCATCAGTCCAGCACAGAAAAAGTGAATTACAGTACTTCTGTGCCTTCCTGCAGTATCTCATACAAAGGATACTGTATTTTACTTTGGAAAATATTTAAAAACCTGAGCCTTAGAGAAACATCTGTATACTTGTGATACTTTCACATTAAAGGTTCGTGTTTCTTCCTAAAGGTGAGATTTCTGCATCTATGATTGTATTTAAACAAACAAACAATTTTAAAAGAGGAGGGAGGGAAAAAGTAATCTAGTTGGATAAATATTTCTCCTTTGCACTGTGGTATTACACCTCTCAGAGAAGGAATGCAGATTTCCAAGCTACAGTTATACATAAACCCACAGAAATTGAAAAAAATCATTACTCCACTGATATTTTTGCTTCTTAAATCCTATTATTGCTGCTAGTGCACTTCAAGGAATGCTAGTGCATGAATGAATCTCATTCAGTACTGATTATTCAAAAGTGAGATCATAAGGATCACGTGGGCGCACTGCTCCTCCATCAAACACGAGCAGTCACCCACTGACACTTGGGATGGCTACCATCACAAGTGGGCTACCAGCAGTATGAGAAGTTGCTGTTCAGTGGTCTGTAAAGGCAACAATTATATGGACCCTGGGTTGTTAGATATACCTGTTGACTGTAGATCACTCGGTGTTAGCAATGCTTAGCTTATTTTCTTACAACTGCTTGCCACAATATAATGAATTCATTATACCTCTTCATTATCTTCACAGAAGATTAAAATGATTTTGCAGTTTTTACAGGTATTCAGAGGATTGTTGAAAAAAAAAAAGCAGACTCCATGGCATTATGGTAGTGTAGGTCCTTTCCAAATGAACGGATCAATGCAGTCCATACACAGAAAATACACGTGGAGACGCATTGTGATTAATGAAAAAATTCTTTCATGGCAACTTCTCCATAGTCTTACTCATACTTAATTTCTTTAATTTATTAAATAAATAGCTTTTGTCTTCATACTGTTACTATCAATTACCTGATGCCCAAACTTGTACTTTTTCTTTATGATTGGCAGTGACAGATGCCCAAGTCCAAAGCTAAACTATTGTTTTAATTTACTCTGTTTCTTATAAGTGCAGGTTTTGTTACAGTTTCCAGCTGCTAAAAAATTTGGGAATTACAGCAGAGGAGTGAACAGGGGAAGGCAGGAAGTGAATAGAAAACCCTTAATCTGGTACAGTGACACAACACATGAACCAGTTTTGCTAAGGAAACTATTCTGCTATCAATAAAGGTAATTTACATTTTTATTCTTTACAAATAATTTTGCATTTCTGAGTGCTTTAATGAAAAGAAGAAAACTTCCTAAATGTAAGTATTACCAGTCTCCCATGATCTCAAAAGGTAACCACAGAGTAACGTTTTAATTTATAATTAAATTCTCAGTAATAGCAGAAAAGACTAGAGCAGACAAGTACTACATTAAATATATACTCTTCCTCAAATTCCAGTTTAAGGCTTTTGAAGTTCATGAGCAACAAATAGGAAACCTCATTCAAAAGTATCAGAAAGAAAGATAGGAAGAATGAACAGATAGCATATGCTACACTGTAAGGTGTCAGACCACTCTGTTAGTAGTACTACTAGCATTCTTTCCACTTACAGTAAATAAAAGGACAGCACAAAAATATAGTGTTAAAACAAGAAGATGCTAGGGACGCAGATGAAGAAAAGTCCTATTTGTCTTTCAAACAGATACAGGTTTTCCCTCTGCCTATTAGAAAAACACCAGAGAAGCTTAATCTAGATTAAGTCATATCATTATGAACAACCCTTTACTCACAGGATCCATTAAGAACATTAGGAAAGCTGCTGTCACATTTAATCCAACTCCACCCACTTTCAGAGACAAAAGCATTATAGTTCAGGACCCTGCTTGGTTGCTTTGGAAACAACAAATTGCTTTCATTCTTTTCTTCTGTGCCATTGACCCATCCAAAGGAATAAAGATGTTGAATTTAACAATCAATTTTGGGTGACAATAAATAAATACATTAAAATATTACAATAAATACATTAAGGGAAATAAATGCATTAAAACCCTGACCTCTGCATATTTAAAATTCCATTTTCTTTGAGAGATCTTTCTAAAACACCAGAAAAGGACATGTTTATTAAAAATAACATCAGTTGTACTTAGTTCAAATGGTTTTCTATCAATGGCAAGAAAATGAACTGAGAATCAAACAGACATTTAGCAGCTGGACTTATTGCTCCGTAGTTCTATTAAAGCATGCATAAGAGCGTTTATCTGAAATCAAAGTAAGTATTTATCTGAAATGAAAGGAAGTTATTTTGACTTGGCTAGAGTCCATTCCTACAGATGGCTTTGATAAAGTTCACATTAATTGAGAGAAATGACTGCTCAGTAATACCTTTTAAATGAACTAATCTTGAATTCTGTGAGTAGGCTTTCTTCTAATTTCCATAGGAAACTAAAAGCTCAGCATTTTTAATAGTCACAAACTACAGGGTGATTGAGAGTGCTTTGGGAAGGAGAATTCACAACCAATTTTCCAGACATACTTCATGTTGCTAAAAGTCTGCAAATCCCCTATCTCCAGGGTATATGGAAAATAGGAACAAAGTACTAGAACTTCAGAGAATAAGGCTTAAGCAATGGACAGCCCCAAGGCGAATGATCTACCATAGCAATTCTCAAGAAGTGAGAAAGGCTTCCCCCAGACATACTGAGGCAAATAAGGTATGCAAGAACCCTTGGTTAGGTGTAACAGGAAGTAAGGAGGCACCAGAAGCTCTCTTGGAACAGACATGAGAACAAAAGGAACAAGGAATTGGATTTGAGGCAGAAGAACTCTGCTAGCAGTTTTCTCAGTAAGGTTTAGCTATGGTGACGCAAAGAACCACTAACTAGAGAATGAAAGTAACTGCACCAGCTAAAAAGAATAAAAATCATGGTTTATTCTAGAACATAATGTCTGAAATTAGCTCTTATGTCTCCACAAAAAGATTTTTAGGGAACAAATTTGTAACCAGCTTTTGAAAGAAAAATTTCTTCATGAAAAATTAAAAACTTAATGTTTCAGAAAAGCAATCTCAAAATGAAAAGAACAAAGTACAAGCAGAAAGATACAAATTCTGTCAGCAAATGAAAATGAGACAAAGAAAAATGATGTGGCAGACCTTGAGAAACAAGTCTATAAAGTAAAATAACAATACTACAATGTTTCTTCTGACAAGTGTTGTATTGAACATATGCCCATTTAGTTTTCCCCTCTAGAGCAGAATATGTATTGCTTAAATATGATTTAAGAAAGGATTTATTTAGATTTTGTTTCCAAAAGTAAATTAAGATTTGAATAAGAGTAGTTTTGTAACCACTGAAACTATCTTCATAAACTGAAACAAAAGGCAAAGCACTTTACCTGAAGTTCTATTTAATTAACACACATTTATTTAAGAAACAATGATCAGGGTCAAATTACAGCTAGTGTTCCTTTTGTCTTGTTTCCCTGCTGCAAGGGAGTTGCAGTTTGTTTGTGGTGTGCATTTTCTTCTGTGCTGGCTAGACATGCTGGATAGACTTCTAAATAATAACTTGAAGTATGTTATCCATATGTATAGTATGTTCAGTGTATTTACACAATTATAGAGTATGCTCTACAAAACCATAATGAAAGCTAAATAAAACAGAATGCACCTTTGAGCTAGGCTTCTGATCAGGCTTCTTTCCATTACTACAGTGAATTTCCTCTTCTAGGGGACCATTCCACCAAGCTGTCTACTTGAAGCTCATTTCTACAGAAAGGGCATTTGGCTGTGCAAAAGCCCAAACAACATTAAAAGAAATGTATTAAACCCAGTTATTTATAAGGAATGATAAATACCACCTTTACAAAGCACCTTTTATACATTTGTTATATTGATGTAAAAACATCCTCAATGATTCATTCTTACAACACACTTTCTCATTTCTGACATGACAGTCAAAATATTTTATTTGCAAGAACATTAACATGACCTAAACACTGCACATTTTATAAATACTCAGCCTTCCTTAAAAGTGAATTGGTCTTCTTTCTGAGCATATTTAAACAGAAATAAGTAGCTCAAAATTTTAAAGCAAGGATATACTTGGGCTATGATAGTAAGATTATCTAAAATATGAGAAAAATAAACCATCTTTCAAAGACAGTATCTTTCTTAGTTACAAACAAAAGAATGACCTTTTACCCTTTTTCTTCAAAGCCTCAAAGCCTGCACAGAAATAATAGCAGTCTGATGAAATATGCTTTGTCAGGACCAGACACGGGGTATCTTCTCTTTTTCCCCAACAGACACATTAAATGGGACATAACACCAAAAGCTGTTTTCTCTCAAGTGCATTCTAGATAAAGCGAAATTTATACAATAGCACTTTCATAGGACTACTCAGAAAATTTAATAATAGACTGTGTGCGCTGTACAAATGGACAACTTTGTGAGGCAAAAATGACAAGACTTGAAAAACTTCTGCCTAACAGAGCAACCCTTTAAAATCGGGTAACTGTTTATATAGAAATCTGGCCACAGAACCAAGGCATCTTTAGAGAGGCTACAAAGCAGACCTCATAAAACATATGAATACTGGAGGCTGCTAATCTGGAATGAATTGGTAGCCAATCAGAGAGCCTGGCAGTCATAGTCTGATACATTAATTTATTGCAGCAATAAAGATATCCTTTCAAGAGAGAGATTCTTTAACACAAACAAATTTGATAAGTTTTCCAAACATAGTGAATGAATGAGCCACTCCTGATTTGGAAGTAAATCCAAAATCCTTCAGTGACAAGACAAAATAAATTAATTTGATTAAATCTGAAAAATGTTTTCTGGGAAAAAACCACAACCTCCAAACAGTGCTCATTGACTTTTTTTTTTTTTTTTTTAAATAAAAAGCTCACATTTTTCTGCATTCCTTCTCCACTTCAGTACTATAATTATAAACAAAACACATCTGAACATTGCCAACAGATAGTAAAGACTTATGCTAAAAGCATATGAAAATGACAAAAATGACAAAAAAGTCTCACAATGAACAGCTAGAAGAAGAAAATAAAAAGTATGAATGCATATCTGACAAGCTTTTATAAGAATGCAGTTGATACACAAAGACATTAGATTACTACAGAGATCTTATAGCTTTATTGTGTCTTCTGCATAGGATTTTTACTTGCTTGCACAACTCTAAATTTAGTCTCAACAGAAGACTGAAATGAAGGTAGTATTAACTCTCAAGTTGTTAACTAGCAAGAAGTTTTTCCAATTTTGGTAAATGCTTTTAGGTTAACATTAGAAAGACATAACGATTTCCAAGTTTGTAACACCATGACATGCCAAATTTTTCACTCAGCAGTTTTGTGCTTGCAGTTCACATCTCATTTGTATTAATAATAGAAACAATCATCTTGCGTGGAAGAATCTTGCTTGAACCCAAGTTGCTTTGGGGAGAGGGTATGCAGTTTGTTGGTCTCCTTTGTTTTCAAGGTGATACCTAAAGTACTTTCCCATGTTATTTACTATGAGAGAATTGCATTGTAACCATTCAGGCACAGAAACTACCCAGATCAAACGCAGTAATAGTACAAATACCTATCATGTGGAATTACTGTTGCAGATGATAGATAAATATGATTGCTCATAAATAATACAGCTAGGATGAGAACAGTTCTCCCAGCTAGCCGGATGTCACTTCTGCCCTTGGATGAGTCCTGGAGTGAAATGGACTGTTCCATCCCACCCCCCAAAAGATGTATAGCTCATCCCACACCTCTGTACCTGCCCCTAAAACATCAGTGTCTGTAACCCCATTGGCCCATGCCTTATCCCAGCCCACCTAGGAGCCCCTGATAAGGGGGCTCTGAGCGGCCATGCGGTCTCTTGGAACCTCTTCCCCCACTGGGAACTTCTCCCCCTCCCTTGGAACCTCCTCCCCTCCTGGGGCTTCCCCTCTCCTAAACCCTCCTTTTGTCTCTCCCCTCCCCCACCCTCTTAAGCCCGGCCACGTGCTGCGCCTGAGAGCACGAGGCTCGGACCTTCCTGCACCCCCAATAAACCTCTTTCCCCAAGAGCAACCTTCAGAGATCTCTGCCTCCCTTCACCCACACCGTGCTGGAGCATGTTCCTCCCTCAGAATTACCTATCACAGTTAATTCCCCAAATTTGGAATTTAGATGCATGTCAGAATCAACTTTGGAATTTAGATGCATGTTCAGATGTCAGAGTTTTGGCTAAAAGCTGCAAAAACTTCCTTGGCAATCAGGAATCATTTTGAAGGTAAGAAAGCTTATTTACTCACTGTTTTAGAAACTTATGATAGTTCAAAAGAGTAGAACCCACTTTTGTTCTTGGCAAAACATAGTAACTTAACTTTACAGTCAACGGGTATATAATGATGATAATTCCATCCCATCATAACCCAATTTATTTCTCTCCATGTTAAAAGCACCAGAAAGTTCAGTAAGGACACTGACTTCTACAAACACATCAAGAACCTCTGCACTGGAAAAAGATCTCTGCAAGTGCTCTTTCCTTCACTAGTTTCCCTCAAATTTATCAGAAACTCTAGACAGTAGGATAGCTGCATCAGAATTTTGTGTATCTGGCAATGGAACAATGTCAGTCCAGAAGCCAGAAAGAGCACCCTTTCCATCTCTGTCTTCTTAGGTTGACTGACTGTGCACAAGCAGGGACTAACTTGTCCCTCCCTGCTTGTTCCTAATAAAGAGCACCAGCCAGGTTTTTGCTAACATTTGCAGCTCTATTCTGAAGCGGAGTCAGAACAACTCCCAAGAGTAAATGCAGCAGCACTGGATACAGATGGTGAGACTACCATGCCATTATGTTGCCCTAGAAAGGGAAACAAAAAGGAAAAATATATCTCAGAAGCACACAAGAAAAAGAAATATTATGGTTTTCAAAAGAGCAATCCAAGTATACTCATCCACAAGCTTTTTCTGCATGGAGCCCAGAGAAGGGACATAAAGATGGCCCTTTACCAAGACAGCTATTTCACTGCCCAAG